AATAATAATAATAATGATAATACCACCATATCCTTTCCTTAGAGTACTTTGGTTTATAGGGGCCTAGTAGTGATTTGTTTTTAAAGCAAAGATTTGCGCACACACACACACACACACACACACACACACAGAGTTACAAAAGTACCACAGGTAGGGAAAGTACAGAAGAGCAGAGAGGCGAAAGTCCCACCTGGCTGCTGCATGGCCTAGTCCCTCTCCGCGTTGCTCCAGCTGGTCCACCTGTCTCCCCTGCAGACCTGATGTACATCCTGTGGCTGTTCTTCGTGGTGCTGGCCTGGAACTGGAACTGCTGGCTGATTCCTGTGCGCTGGGCCTTCCCCTACCAGACGCCCAGCAACATCCACCTGTGGCTGCTGATGGACTACCTATGCGACCTCATCTACCTCCTGGACATCACCATCTTCCAGATCCGCCTGCAGTTTGTCAGAGGCGGGGACATCATTGTGAGTCACAGGCAGGTGGAGGGGGGAGCATGGCAGACCTCACAGCCAGCACTTCAGGGGACCCATCACTGATGCTATGATAGACGACAAAATAAAGGAACAAGGAAATCTCCGGGGCAGCTGTCGGCCCGTGTTCAGCAGCCTGGTTGCTTATTTCACATGCCTTTGATAAGTTCAAGTTACGCACATTGATATTGTTCACATGGTTTCTGGACCACCTGAGGAGGGAAAGACGGAGAAATGGTCCAGTGAATGGGTTTTAGGGCAGGTGCGCTTGCTGGATCACCTCTCTGAGCCTCAGTTTCTCATCTGCAAAATGGGTTTGGTACTAGTTCCTACTGGGCAGTAGTGGTGAGAGGATTGGTTGAAATGATGTGCGCAGCATTCTCAGCTCCCATATCTGCTGGCAATCACTGTAACCCGGGGCTCCTGAAAAGGGTATGATGATCTCTGCTACTCGGGCCACTGTGACCCCATGCCCTGAGTCAGCCTCCACTTACCAGAGAGGCAACCAAGGCCCTGACGGTGACTTAGCAAAAGCAGCTGGCACAGTTCCCATCCTCCTCGTGGAAGTCACTCTCTGCAATTCCACTGAAGGCTGGGCATGGAGCTCAGAGGTAGAGCACTTGCCCAGCTGCATGAGGCCTGGGGTTTTACTCCCAGGGTGGCAAAGGAAAAAGCATTCCACATTGGCAGCACAGGCTCCTGTGTTTGCAGACAAGTTGAAGTTTTGCCTCTGAAATGACTTTGAGGAGGAGCTGGAGGTGGTAGTATATCCCTGTAATAGCAGCATTCAGGAGGCTGAGGCAGGAGGATGTAATGTGTTGCCTTAAAAACAAAACACGAATGACTTAAAGGAAAGAATTCTCTGGCCCACCTCTTCCCCGGTCTGATCAGAGCAGTTGCCAGCCATTCAGTGAGTTAAGTTGCAAGTGGTCCCAGGAAGACTTACACGTGAGAGCATGAGCCTCAGGACCCTCACTTTCCATCCAAGGAAGCAGGATCTAGCTGGTGACCCTGGACAGGGCCTGTCCCTCTGGGCCTCAGCCACTGGAGGGACTTTCATGGAAGCTCATCGAGTCCATTCTGCCTCCACTGCTGTGGGCTACTCTGACAGGAAAGGTCAGGGTTCTTTGGGGAATTCCATGGTGGCTTCCCATCGGTCAGTGCTTAAGCTCTGATGCCCTCTCACTGTCATCATTCTATCTTCTTCCAGATGGACAAGAAGGACATGCGAAATAACTACCTGAAGTCTCGCCGATTTAAGGTGTGTGCTGGGATGAAAGGTGTAGTGGCTGCAGGGGCCCAGGGGCCTGAGTGTTTGGGGGCCCACGTGACATGGTACCTGCCACCTGGAGGGATGCTAGGGAGAGCTCCTGTGGGTATATCCCATAGGCTCATCCCCAAGAACAGCTTGGGCTGGGCAGTCCTCAAAGGCTACCTTTCTGGGTCTGCTCCCTTCTACTCCCTCTGGGGGACACAGTGGTCATTGTCATGCTAATAGAGCTGGCATTGGAGTGGACAAGGTGATCCTGGAAGCCACCTGGGCTTCTTAGTGGGCACCTCCTGGCCTCTAGTGTGAGGCCCTCATGGGGATCCTGACCTCCCCTGTCCATGGAAGGTGGGACGCCAGCCTTCACTCACCCCACATTCAGTCCTGGGGTTACATGTTTGCTACACCGTGGGGTCCCCTTGGGGTTCCAGATGGATGTGGTCTGCCTCCTGCCCTTGGATTTCCTCTACTTGAAATTTGGCGTGAACCCCCTCCTCCGCCTGCCCCGCTGTTTAAAGGTAAGACCGGCAGTTCCACCATGCCATATTCGTGTCCTCCAGAGCAGCTGGGGAGGGGGAGGTGTCCTCAAAGGGTGGCCCAGGGGAGCTGCTCGCACTCCAAGCCCATCTTGGTGGAAAACGATTCTAATGGCTCATGCCTCTGTGGCACCATCTGTTACTTTCAGAGCAAGGGGCTTTACGAGTGCTGGCTCCAGCCCTGAGACTTGAGGGTTGTTACCGTGTCCTACAAATGAGGGGCCTGGGGCACAGGCAGGCTCAGCAGCTTGCCCGAGTCACACGGAGAGGAAGGAGTGGAGTTTGGATCTGTCTCCACTCGATGCTCTCAGTAGTTACAGAGCTGCGTGAGGGGGCTTCTGCTTTATGATGATCTCCACCTAAAAGATGGGCAGATTGGCATTCTGGGAGGCAGGGTGACTTAGCCAAGTCGCAGAAGCAAGGAAGTGCCAAGGAGGGGTGTGAGTGCCCAGCCCTCTACCCACTTGGTCACTGGTTGGTGCTCGGTGTAATCCCAGTGTTTATTCTGCCTTTCCTGGGGCAGAGCAGATTCCCAGGGAGGGACTGCCAGTCACAGTGTGGACTGAGGCCTTGGCAGCTGTCCTTTCATAAGCTCAGGGTGGACAGCCCCAAATGGATTTTGCTCGACAACTAATTAAATCCATCCTTCTTCTTACATGATGTCTGGTGCTTTTGTTTTGTTTTGTGTTTTGAGGCAGCGTCTCACTGTGCAGTTCAGGCTGGCCTCAAACTCACTATGTAGCCCAGGCAGGTCTTGAACTCACAGTGATCCTCCTACCCTCAGCCTCCTGAGTGCTGGGATTACAGAGGGTGTGCCACACATCTGGCTGATGTCTGGTGTTTTATCCAAAAATCAGTAAATGAGGGAATTTATTTTATAAAAAAAGGTAAATGCAGTAAGAGAAGTAGGGGAGAGAATGCTAGGAAAAACTGCAGGTGGCCAGATGAAAAGCAAGCACACCTGGCTGGAACTGAGCACAGAAGAAGGAAACTGAGCAGCACCATTCTCCTCTGATGCATCCCAGCCTCCAGGATGCTGCAGAAGCTGCTTTAGAGCCAAGCATCAGAGTGAGAAAGATTTGGTCCACAGGCCGAGACTGATCCCAGATGTGGAAGTGAGATGCCTCACATGGTGGTTGGTGTGTGTGTGCACAACTCCCGGGCTTAACATCTGGCACAACTTGGAGGATGCAACCCTTTGAGCCTTAGAGGAGGGGACCAAGCCCATGGTCTTTCTGCATCCAGTGTGAACTCCGGATGGGTGTTAGAATGAACACTTGGATGCTGGCTAGCACATCCCTTAGGACCGTGGTGGTGAGCCTATGGCACGCACATTGCAGAGGGCTGTTTGTATCATTGAAAGCTCTAAAAGTTTTTATCATCACTCCCTTAGGAAATCTTCATTAATATTATTTTCAAATATCAGAAACTCAATGTAGATAAAAATCTAGAGGGGGTGTAGCATAAGGCAAACAACTCGCAGCTTTGAGTCTGATCTGGGTTCAAAAGTTGACTCTCAGTTCCCAGTGTGGGCTTTGGATAAGTTGCTAGACTTCCCCAAGTGCCAATTTCCTCTCTGACAAAGGAGAATGCTAGGGCTTGGGCTGTAGCTCACTGGTGGGGTACTTGTCTAGCATGCAAGATCCCCAGCCCTGGGGCTGGGGATTTAGCTCAGTGGTTCTGGCGCCTGCCTC